AGACAAATTACTCTGTACTACAGTCCTGCAAAGTGATTTTCAGGACAAAAATTATCCTTTCAGTACAATATACTTCCAAATAAATTGCTCCAATGTCGCTTAGTTCTGCAACATTTTGAATTTTCAGTTATGCAAAGGCTTTCAGCTGCTATTTGCTCTCGTTGCTGCATGGATTTTTTTTTTAACGCGACACGCTATCGATATCAGTGGAATTTCAATAAGCTTACTTTTATTTCTGTTTGATGTAACCGAGCAGACATTATAAAAAGCCTATCAATTCTCAGTTTTGCACCCTTTCATGCTATCATGAATATTTGATCAAAATAACTTTGCTCCATATTCGTTTATCAAATATTTACTAGCAGAAACACGATATAATGATGAAAGACTTTTGTCTATATATTTATCAAATGCTAACTAGTGCATTTTATTCAATGTGCATGTATAAATTAGGGTGTTCCACAGCCTTCCATGTTGTGTCACAATGTAACCATGAGTAAAAAAAAAACCCTAAGAGAAAAATTGTTATAGCACACTGTATTTGTAACTGAACCATAGCGAGGCACTTTATGAATAGACAGAATTAGAAAATGAAATTAGAATGTTACTTAATTAGTCTTCGATAGCAAATTTACTTGATAAAACTATAGCTCTTGAAAATTATTGTAATAGGAAAATTGAATAATAATGTATCTATGATAATGAATAATCAAATTAGAAAAAAATCAGATAAAGCTTTACTAGTAAAGAAAATGTGCCTAGAGTTTGCAAAGAAAATTTAAGGTTATTAGGTTATGTCTCACCTGTTGAAATGGGTTTTGTTTGCCTCGAAAATACTCTGGATTAATCTGGATCGAGGTCTGGATTCGAAATCCTGGAGTGAGTGAGATGGTCTTTGCTCTACTCTTTAGGGCAGCTTTTCACTAATGATTAAATAGAAATGGTCAGAATCTACTGTGGGAAAAAAACGTGCAAAGCAAAACTTACCACATGGATGGTTGTAAAAATTCGAAAAAATCGGCGATTTTTATAGTGCTTTACGGAAACGTAAGGCAACTCAATGTCCTATAAATTCAATAATTGAGAATATAAGGTCGAAATCCCTCAAAGGCGAAAACGAAATTTACTCTTCAGAAAGACCTTATTTCTCCACCCAGCAAATGTGAAAAGAAATAGGCACCACATAAAATTAATTAGCTGTCCTAAAGGTAATGATTTAGAGATCAGTCAGAATAACGACAAACGTCAAACATTAATTGATAGAATTTTTACGTACCAAAAATTGCACACAACAATAATGACAACAGCTGACGACTAATGATAATAACAACAAGTAATTATCCAATAGAACAATCATAATTTGAAGAATACGATATTGAGTAAGCAATTCGTGTTGCAAAACATCAGCGCTTACGAGGAATCGCACGGAAAGAAATTTTGGATACTATTAATCCAGTAGGGTAGTATTACAATCAAATTTTTGATCAATATAGCGTCAATCTAAATTTAGATTAATATCGATAAATGATTGGATTGATTTACTTGTTAAGCTAAAATCTGCTAAAATATATCAAACTATGATAAGTAGCAGCAAATGAGTTCCAATAAATAACAACCAAAATTTGATTATTATTAGCAAAAATAAAATTAAATTTGTCTAGGATATTCCTGAATATAATTTATATATTCTTAAATTTAGCCAGTTAGTGTTGAATAGTATCAAGCAATTTTTGGATCAGTTCAAGTTGATTGTAGATAATATTTGCTAAATATATGATTGATTTTAGAAAAAGATATGACGAAAGATAGCAAATTGACAAATAATTAGGATAAAATTTATCAAATAATTTGATTACTTCTTGCAATATTTTGATGTTATATATCTAATAATTGAGTGCAACTTATCAAATCTTTTGATTATGTGCATTCAATATTTGATTGCTGACCAATTGATTTTCGTAATTAGCGGTGGTGGTGGGAAAAAAGTAACAATAAAATGAGATTTTGGTTTAATTATTATTTATTCTGCATTCGTATACAATGTTGAATACTAAATTATTATTATCTCCTATTAACTTAACCTAAATAACCTTCTCAAAAGGAATACAATTTATACCTTATAGTTTATAGATAATCAGAAAATAATAACAGCCGTATGCAACATCCTCTTTCAACTTTAAAAGCGACTTTGAAAGTCAATTGCTTAAGAATAATTTTTTTTAAAAGTGACAAAATAGGCTAAAAGTGCTTTTAAAATTAAAAGATGATGTTGCATACGGCTATAATAAGTCTTTAGTGTAAAAGCAAATTAATCAGCTTACAGGAACCAAATTAAAAATATAAATTTCCTTGTATATAAATAAAAAACACAATTCCAAAACTCCGTAACACCCTATGTTATTAGTAGGTTTTTACAAAAATACAGATGAAATGTTCATTTCTACTGGAAATTTCAATTTCTCTCCAGTGGCGGCTCGTGGTATAACATATTGGGGGTGCACATAATTTGTAATTCATAATAAATGCCGGTTGCGTTTGTTTTGCTGGCGCATTTGGCCACTAATTTTTTAAATTAATACTTTACAGGTAGATTGTTAAAATTTGAAGAATGATAAAATTAAATTTAAAGCTGTTTGATATTAATTTGGGAGTGCACGTGCACATGTGCTCTTATGGAGGAACCGCCACTGTTTCTCTCCCATAAAGAAACAAATATCACAAATATCACTCACAATACTCAATAATTTATTATTGCCAATTAGCACTGCGTGGCACTACGAGTACGGGTGCGAGAGTACGAAAAAATACACAAAGACAACTTAGACAAGTTTTTTCTGTGGACCGAGTGCGGCGTGCACTCCACATAAACAGGAGAGACGTTCTTCCTCCAACAAAACACCACACACTAAAATATTTTCAAATGAAAAATAACTCAAGTAGCCAAAACCGTTAGAAAAACTTATAGGTATTTGCTTGATTTACTCCTTATATTATAGATTAAGCCAAATAATGGCTCGATTCTAGAAGAGTTTTATTAATTTGGTCAAATATTTGATAATCGTAGCAAAAATTGGATAGAAATAGTTATATATTTGATTGTTTTCAGTTCACTGTTTTTTTCTGTTTTCTAAATTTCAGTAAATTCTATGAATAACTTAATCCAGACAGGAATACATTAATTTAAAATAGCATAGATATTAAGCATTTATTTTATTGATCCCATCAAAACCATATAGATCAAAAGTAAATTAATGCCCATATTATTCTATGTTGAAACCTAAAATATTTTAAATCAATGTACCTAGTAATTCATTCCTAATTGATTTGATTTGGAAATGTATAGATCTGTGAAATATGTAAAAAATTTGACTATGATGCTTGTTGAGATAACTTTGATAGAACTTATTCTACCAGACACTAGGAATCTCAATTTCTCAAATTGATCTTGTTGATAAATCAGATATTATCCTTTAGTTAAACTATTATCAAATACAGCTAAAATAATATAATCTAAGAGTTACTTTGAGCAAATTTCTTGCAAAAATTAATCATGGGAGGTACATCAATTCGATTTTTAATGTTTGATTGATTTAAGAAAAGCGTTTTCTGTAATCAATCTAAATTTTGATGTCCCAAGAAAAAAATTGATGAGATTTAGCAGTTTAAGCATAAAAACAAGAAAATTGTATCTATTGATATTAATTTCAATTTGATGTTATTAATCGTAAGCGAAATTAGCAGATTAATCTTAAAACGCTAATATCTGTCAGTTTTTTTCTTGTTTTATTCCATTTTAGATTAAATTAATTTATTTGGCATAGATTATGGTATTTCTTATTTCAATAAGTCGATTTGATTCATTTTATCAAAGCATTTCTTTCCGTGCGATGATCCCAAAAACATTACTAATCGAAAGCCAATTGACCTAAGGACCAAATTATGGAACAACTGGTGTCTGGTTGTTACCTAGCAGGTACTTTCTATTTTCTAGTGCATAGAAAGTACCTGTTAGGTAACAACCAGACGTTTACCAGTCAGTCCATAATTTGGCCCTAAATGAACAACACTTCACCAGTCAGCTGAGACACAAATCAAGAGTAACATTACTTAAACGTCAAGTGTCATTATAGAATAGAGAGTAATCCGGGGGTTTATGGAACCAACGATGGGACCGGGAGCAGAACTAAAACTGGTACTGAGTTCAGCAAACGAACAGAGTACGACAGTACGAACAGCACAGCATACGGTACATACTTTGAAAACGGATCACGATTTGGGAAACATAACCCTAGAATAACATTTTTGGCAGATGAATATTTGATTTAATTATAATCAATTTATTATTGGAAAATGGATTTAAAATATTGATTAAAACCGAGGAAAATCATTAGTCGTCAGAAGTGAAAATAGAATTCAAATATTGAAAATTAGAAAATTTATAGGATCTGCAATTACTGTAATTATTGTTGAAATTTTATAGAGGAAAAAGGTAAACAAAGTTAAAGGAATTTTGAATGGAAAATCGAAAAAACGTAAGAAATAGTTAGTCAATTTTGACACGTTACAACACCAAGACGTAGTCTCAAATTTTTTTACGCCCGATTTTATAGAGTTAAATATCTCGAGTTACCCTAAGGGCGGGTATTATAAAACTTTTTTGACAGATAGCAAAAGGTTAACTTGTGAAATTACTATGAGAAGTAACGTCATTCCAGAAGTTAACTTTTAAGTTAACTGTCAAAATAGTTTTATAATACCTATCCTAAGGGTTAAGACTCAGGTTAAAATGCAAAAATCTCTGTAAAAATTTATGAAATAGAAGAACTCAAACGCAACATAACCATACATTCTTTAAAAAAAGAAATTCAAACTATTTCAAACTTAGCTGCTACTTATTTATATTTCAATATCGGTTTTTAGTTAAGTTTAGTGGCGTGAAAAATTTGAGTTAGTAATGTAAATATAATTTAAGAGATTCGAGACGAGATTCCATACGTAAAATGGATATGACGAGCAGAAGAAGGAGTGTGAACTTCTCGGAAGAAGAAATTGCTGCACTGACTGCATTTGTAGAAACCTACAAGCACATTTTAGAAAATGAGAAAACTGATGCAGTCACAATGAAAGAAAAGGATGATATGTGGGAAATAGTGGCATCTGAATGGACTGAATGGGCAGAGTCTAGATTCACTCCACGAACAGGAAAGAAGTTGAGGGAAAAATGGAAGAACATCAAAAAAGATGTGAAAATAAAAATTCCAATAATTTTGCAATAACCTCTCATTTTATTTTTTCAAAATTTCTGCATTTTGTGCATGACAACCGCTAAACTCCAGAGCTACCACGAGCCAAATGGAGAGGCAGGGTTAACTCATACTCTGGATTATAAAACGAAGCATCACGCACCTGTCACCGGATTAACTCTCAGGGCAGGGGTAACCTGAGCTTATGAAATCGGGCATTAATCATATAAAGGTTACATGTTTCGCCCAATAATAAACATCATTAGACCTATAAAAAAAATCTATTACACTGAGAACAAACATAGTACGGAAACACATACCTTCAACTGAACTCTCAGAGTGAGTGTTTCCAACAGACGCATACACTTCAATACATCTTTACAATAAAATTTCAAAAACTCCAAAAATAAGTTCAACTATAATATGGAACGTGTCCCGAAGTTGACAAGGGCAAGACAGGGAAGCCAAAAACTACACATAACCTAAACTACAATTCCAAGTATAAGGAGGACATGTGCAAGTTGTTCAGAGGCGATGGGCAAGGTACGACCATCTCAAAAATCCCCATTGAGTACGTTAACGAAAGCTTCGTGGTAAATGAAAAAAGAAGAACAAGAAAACGCAAGCAGGAGAGGAGAACGACGTGACATCTATCAAGAGAGAGAGACATCATAGAGACATAAAGAAAATGCTTTTGGAAAACAAATAGTGCGTTCTTAACAGAATCATAACCTGCACTAATCGCATGGAACACTGATGAATTTCGTGCTTTTCCTTTTTCTACGTTGGCCTTCTAGTCTCTCTCTGCACGACCATGGCCACGTCGTTAGCATACCCTTGGCTGTGGAACCCCTCCTAAAAATGGTGTTAGTAGAGCAAAAGATTTATAATTCCCATATTCATATTTTAATAGAAGGAGCTTAAAAAAATACTAAATTGGCCAAATTTGATTTGGAAAGCAAACGAGAAGGTTCTTTAATTAACCGCAAATTAAAATAAAAAAATCGCATTTTTCAAAAGAAGCTTTTTATCGCGGCAGAATATTATAAAGGACTCATTAAAAACTAACAAAAGATAAAAAATTAAGGCAAGACTACGTTAGAGCAAAAAGTAGGTAAGCTTGGTATATTTCAACAATAAGTCCAAGCAATGTATTTAATTTTTATTTAACCAGAAAAAAAAAGAGAAGAATTCAAAAATAGTTGAATGAATCTAACTATTATAGAAAAGTTTCGATTTGATGAAATGATAATCCAAGATACCCAACGAAAACATCCTATGATAAAACGTCTTGTTGATAGAATTTCATTTACATCATCCACAAAAATTTTCAAAAGGGAAGTTTTGACAAACAACATTAATTGAGGATTCAAAAGTTAAACAAGGGAGTGATTACACAGTCCTAAAAGTGTGCAAATTTTGCATGAGTAGGCTGAATTTTTCATTTCATATACTGGAAAAATGCATTTGATATGTATATGACAAATCCCAAATTAAATGCTATAACTGTCTTGAAAAAGGACATTTTGTTTTAGACTGTCTGAAATCTAGGTTGGAATGTGATAAGTGTAAGAAGCTAGGACACTCTACTCGTGACTGTAATAAACGATCAAAAAACCAAAAAGTTAAAAATAACTTGGTAAAAACAGTCTCCACAAATGAACAGTATTTTTTCGACTGTGTGTTGAACGATATGCCGACGCGTGCATATGTTGATACTAGTTGTGGATCTGTTCTTGTCAGAGAGCAAGTGGCAAAAGAGGCAAAGTTGGAATACCTCCGAAGTAACACCATCGTATCAGGATACAATGGTTCAGTTCAGGTAGAAGCCGACGTGGATTTCATTGTAGTACCTGATCATATTCAGTCAATACCGGTCATTGTGGGACAGAGATTTTCCAATCAACCAACAATTTTGGTAATCGTATCAGGAAAGAATGTTATCATTCTTCCAAGAGATGACAATGTTCCTAACATTCTAGATTTTCCGACTAGGAAAATTCCATTGTAGGCTACGATGGACACTGTTATTCCGTCAAAAACAGTAGCAGTCATTGAGGCGACGTCACGAGGAGCCACTATCCATAATGTGTACGTACCAGGAGGACTGCAGGCGATTCCAGAAAACGAATGTATCACAAATGATCAAGATGGAGCTCTGACGGTAACGAACTTCTCTCAGAAAGATTTCAAGGACAGTAAAGACAAAATTTTATCAAGGTCAGTTGTTTGTTTTGAAGAAATCGGAGCTTGAAAAAAAGTCAATGCTAGTCATGTGACCGTTTCAACAAATGAACAAAATACTTTCACTGTTAGTGACATATTTTGCTCTGAGCATTTAACTTCGGAACAGATAGACTCATTGTTGAAAGAATTTCATCATTGTTTTGCACGAAGTACGGAAGACTTAGGACGAACTGATGTTTCAAAAATGACCATTAAACTTACTGACGCTAGACCAATTGTGTATAGACCTTATCGCTTATCTCACACTGAAAGGAAAGTTGTGAGAGATATTGTGAATGAACTGCTTAAAAGTGATATAATACGTGAGTTCTGAGTCCCAGTATGCGAGTCCAATCCTCTGAGTGAAGAAAAGGAATGGAGAACAACGGATGTGTAACGATTATCGCGCATTAAATGCCAAGACTATCAAAGACAGGTTTCCACGAGTTGATGATTTCTTAGAGAAACTCAAAGACTCTTCGTTTTTCTCAAGTTTGGATTTAGCTAGTGGATACCAGCAGATAGAGGAGAACCCCGATTCTATTCAGAAAACTGCCCTTGTGACGCCTGACGGTCATTTCGAGTACCTTCGAATGCCATTCGGCGTTGGAAATGCGCCAGCTTTATTCCAGAAAACTATAAATAAAGTATTGGGAAACATGCGGTAAGGGAAAGCATTGGCATACATGGACGACATTCTTCCTTCCGATATCAACGTCCTGAAAGCATTGTTAGATGTAGGTCTTACGTTGAGATTCTCAAAATGCCACTTTTTAATGCCCATGATCAAATATTTGGGTCACGAAATTACCAAGGATGGTATTAAACCCGGAAAACGGAATACAGACGCTGTATCCATGTTCCCCATTCCTATAGATGTACGCACGGTCAGGCAATTCCTAGGTTTATCTAGCTATGTTCAAAAATACATAAAGAACTTCGCCGTCATAGCCAGACCTCTCACTTATTTGACGAAAAAAGGAGTAGATAACGCCTGGGGCATTGATCAACAAGATTATTTTGATACTTTTGAAGAAAGGCTAGTATCAAGGCGATATATAATCTAAACCTGTTAGCAGAGATTCACTGTGATGCTTCGGAGTGAGGCATAGGTGGAATATTATTACAGGGACAACATTCTGGTTCACTTCTTCCCTGTATGTATTTTTCGAGACAATTCACAAAAAACGAAGAATGGTACCATTCTCATGAGATCGAAACCCTTGCAGTCGTATGTACCTTGAAGAGTGTACTTGATTGGTATCAATTTCAAGGTGATTACTGATTGCAATGCTAAAAGAACGACATTGTGCAAGCGAGATCTCATTCCTGGAGTTGGGAGATGGTGGTTGTCTATTCAAAAGTACAATTTCGAAGTGGAGCATCACCCTGGTATAAAAATGGCGCATGCTGATGCTTTAGGTAGAAGTCCTATTCCTATTCTCGGGGGAGGTGCATCAAAAATTGCTGCAAACCTTGTTAACATAGAACATGAAGACTGGGTACTCTCAGCGCAACTCATGGACGTAAATTAATTTTGGAAGTTTTGGGAAGAGATCCTGTGAACGTTGAAGAACGGAAAATCTATGGACAATATTGCAAGATTGATAATCGTCTTTATAGACAAACAGAAAACGGCAATAAATGGGTCGTTCCAAGATCGGCTTGCAGGCAAGTTTTAATGCATTTTCATGACGGCGGAGGACATATGGCTGTAGATAAAACATTTTTGACTATTTCCAAGACGTACTGATTTCCTGGAATGCGGAGATACATATATAAAGAAATATATCACGTGTTGATTGCAATGTCTGTACAATAAAGAACCTGGCGGACGTCAGCCTGGGTTTCTCTACCTCGTTGAGAAAATCTCAGAGCCATTTGATACTGCTCACATTGACCATCTGGGGCCGTTTGTAGAGTCGAGAAGAAAAAATATGTACCTCATTGTTATTGTTGAGGCATTCACAAAGTTTGTATTCATGAGGGCAGTCCATTCAACGAAGGTTGAGCCACTATTGAATTTTCTAGATGAAGTAGTAGCAAACTTTGGCGTACCGAGAAGGATAACTAGCGATCGAGGCTCCTGCTATACAGCCAAGAAATTCAAGGACTATTGCTTGAATTTAAATATTAAAGATGTACTAAACGCTGCTGCTACTTCTAAAGCGAATGGACAGGTCGAGCGGTACAACAGGACGATATTGGCATCACTGTCTTCATCAACAGAGGAAGAAAACATATGGGATAAGCAGGTTCAGCTAGCGAGATGGGGATTAAACACGAGTGTAAATTCGTCTACACGAAAGTCTCCCTACGAACAGCTTTTCGGATATGTACCGAGAGGTGTTGCAAATTGGATATTGGCCAACGAGATTGCAGTAGAATCTTTGCATGATCAGAACCTGCAGAAAACAAGAGAGTCTGTGAAACAATTGATCCAAGAGAAGCAGAGCAAAAGCAAAGCTCAATATGATGCTGGACGCTTTTCTGGAAAAAAGAACAAGACTGGTGACTGTGTGTTAGCTAGAACAATACAGGCTACTAATATGGGACAAAGCAAAAATTTTTTACCAAAATATTCAGGTCCCTATGTGATAACAAGTGTGGTGAATCATGATAGATTTGTATTCCAAAACTTGAGAGGGTCTTCAAGGTCTCAGAAGAAACACAAGGGAATCGTTTCCTTGAGAAAGTCGAAACCTTACGATATGAATGTGAGCTCAGAATCTGAAGATGATTCAATAAATGATGTATGCATGTAGAGAACTTATATTGGTATAGCTCAGATAAAAACGATAACTAGC